TTTTTAAAAAATTTTTTATATTTTTTTTTTTTTCATCCCCAAAAAAAAAAAAAAAAAAAAAAAAAAGACTAAGTTGTTAGACCTAAAACTACAGAGCCCGTCTGGTGACACGACCGGGAAAAAAGTCGTTCCTATGAGATATTGAAGTCGTTACCACGATTTTCTTTTCTCCTATCCAGACGGGCTCTATGCCGCATAAAACATATAATTATACATTCAAATATAAATTAAAAATATCCCAACAACGAAATATAGGCCACTCTTTGAAAACGCTTCTGTATTTAGCTTAGCTTAGCTAGCTCATTAGCTCACCGTGGCTAGTTAAGCTTAGCTAACAATAACATTTACTTCGGAGTAAAAATCCCTGTACGTTGTGTTCCTTCTTACTGTGAAACTAGAATGAAAGAAGAACAAAGTGCTCACGTAATTTTTTGTTTTCATCTTAAAATTTGTAAAAGAATAAAAAGAAAGTGTTTCTTCACATCAGCTGCCTGTGCTATCTGGCTAAATCTGTCCCATTCTTGACTAAACACAAGACATTTTTAGTGGGGGTGTTCATATCATTTTGACAATACATACAAACTTTTGCACAATGTTTGCATTAAAAAAAACAACAACAAAAAAACAAACATAAAATTTGTTTTATTGTTATTCAAGATGTTGTGCATCACCCTGGTCCGTTTACCAGCATCCACAACACAGAAATCAGTTTTATATTTTCACATTTTTAACTTAAACTGACTTTCTTCTTTATCTGTAGTGCATTTAAACTTAGGTTAAAAAAATAGAAAAAAGTATTCTAGCACTGCAAACTGAACCATGAAAGATTTTTTTTTATTTCTGCTAAAAAAAAAAAAAAAAATGTTTTTCTTCTCCCTCCCTCTGAAGTGGCTCCAGTTGACCATGTACGCCTAGACAGGCCCACCTTCTCCCAGGTGAACTCCACTCCACATGAGGACCAGACCTGCCAGCCTTTACCTCAGTATTCAGTATTCAGGGGGCCCGACCGCCATTGGCTTTCATCCACATCAACTCACCTCCAGAAGCTCCAATGGACGTCTTCACCTTCACCGTTCTGTTTCCACCATCACCACATCAGTCTCTTCTCAGTTACATTTTTTTTTTGGAGATCATCACCTGTTGTACTGTTATTTTTCTCAGGCAGCAAACACAACCAACCTCTTTTTACTGTCACAATACCTCACAGAGCCCCTCTCTCATGCATCATGTTTTCTTCTTATACCACTCAACCCTCTGACCTGGGCTTAATATTTCTCATATTCAATTTTCATCACGTTCTTTTTAACCACTCAGTTTTGTTGGTGAAAACTTTTTCTGATCCATGTCGCATACAGCTCTCTCCGTGTTGGAGAAACTCAGGCCTCCTCTGTTCCACCTCAGCAGGGCTTTGCTCCTGCTGTCTGTCTTTCAGTTTTTAAGCTTGATTAAAGATCAGAAATATGGATTTGAAAGATTATGGCAAAAGGATGAACTGCAGCTTTTTGTGATTCATTTTCCCCCTCCCATTACTTATAAAGGCTTTGGTCAATTGAGTGTACCACATTTTTAATCATCTTAACCCAATAAATAAATATGTAGCTGTTGGTTTGACTGCTTTCCACCATGTCTGATTTGAAAATATCTTTGTTAAATGAAAACAGACCCTTTTTTTATGTTGCACACATTTTTCTTTTATTAACATCTTAGATCGCACTTCTTAGAAAAAAAAGTTCTTCAGAACTTTGATAACAAATGAAAAACTTGAAGAAACTCAGGAATGCCAGGTAGAGGTGAACTGAGCACTTGCATAAACAGAACATTGTGCTGGTAAAAACGGGTGGAAACTGCCTTTAAAAATGCCGATTTATGCTACCGGTCACTTGGCTATTGGCATGTGAGATGAGACTTTATTCTTCCTTCGTCGTTCTTCCATCAAACACCTCCTCTTAACACCTTTCAGCTCCACACTCCATGAGAAAACCGGTGTGGAAAATAAAGCTCCTGTGCCTTCTGCTCAATGCTCTGATTCAAAACCAAAATAATAATAATAAAAAAATAAACATAAAACACAACCTCACTTCACTCTTGATAAACAAGGTTCACGTAACAGTGTGATTTAACATATTCCTTCAAAAGAAAAAACGAGGAGTAACTCCACGCAGACTAAAACGTACAGCAGGAAACGCCACCGCATTCGTGTCTTGGTTCTCAAATCAGACGATCGTTGGACGTCTGGCTGAGAAACAAATAACAAAAAAAGTGACTGCAGCAAACAAAAATTTCTTGTTCAACTCCAACCACACTCTTAAATACGGCCGAGGGGATTACACAGTAACAACGAACTCAGTCCTGTCGTAAACCTGAGCTTACGGCAACTTAATATAAAGAAAAAAAAACAAAAAAAAAAACCGTAACTTCAGGTCGCTCGATGTAACACATCACAACTGCACACTTATAAAAACATCTCAAACCATGCCGCGTTACAGTGAATCTCAGTGATAATTCTAGATTTTTTTGTTTAAGTTGCAAAAAAGAAAAAAAAATAGTGTAACAGATCCCTCAGACCTGGGCATCGCTGGAGTTTCTTCATCAATAATTTAAAAAAAGAGTTGCGTGTTTCTTTCTCTCGCTTTGGTCAGTGACAGTCAAACAAAAGGACAGGAAGGAGTGTTTCTGAGAATGTATTTTAAAAACAACACAACCTTCCTTTTCGCGGAAGAATCCCGGGGTGGGATTCCAACGTCGACCACAAAGGATGGAGTCGTCAAACGCTTGTCAGGCTCCGAGGGAGCGCGGTCAGGTGTAGAAGGTCCCAAGAACAAATACCCCGCCCAATATGGGAGGTTAAATGAGGGAGGGGTTAAGATGAGAGGGGAGGAGAGGGAGAGGGGGGCTAGTAGTGAAAATATGCTCCCACCACCGGCCCCTTACGGCTCCGCTGCAGCCTCTTCCTCAGCGTGTTTCTGCATGTGCAGCGTCACCATCTGCCAGGAGAAAAACGTGATGAAATGCTAAGATGGTCACTCAAAGCTAATTTCGTTGAATCACAAGGCACCAATCAATGTCGAAGAAAGAAATCAGAGCTGAAACGATTAATTGTGATTAATCGATTTTTGAAATGATCGTCAATTTAGTAATGGTTAACTGGAGTAAACGGACTCAAAAAAAAAAATATTCAGAGCCATAAGTAAGCCAAAATATATCTACATTTAAGATAAAATCACCTTTCTATGTAAATATGTTCTAGCCAAAACTCCTCAAGTGGCCTACCCTGATTCAAATCCATTAGAGAAATGCTACTGTATCCCATTTTAGGCTATCGAATTAATATATTTCTTTTAAAAAAAGGTATTTGATATTTATTTGCATCTTTTAATGTTTTTTCTGATTTTTGTAAGAAAAACTTAAGGGGTTAAACAAAAAAATCTGTAGAGTGCACCAATATCTTGATCTGATTAATCAATTAATTGATAGAATAATCAATTACTAAAATAACTGTTAGTTTCAGCCTTACAAGTAAGGCAGAAAACTGAAAACTTTTAGTCTAGAAACAATGAAACTTCAGTTATGGACCAGGTAAGGATGTTACAGTCTTGACTCGGTGCATTTGTTGCTGAGATGATTCTAGATCTAAGAATCAATCGATTAATCAATTAACTGCTTCGAGATCTAAGGAAGTGAGGTTAGAAAGTGTAAAGAGGGCGTCTGTGCATCCTTAAAAAGTCTTACATTCATGTATCTAAAATTAAGGCCTTAAAATGTCTTAAATTCACATGAAAATGAATTTGGCCTTAAATACATTAATCTTGCATATGCAATTTTATACTTTTTTTGCAAGACTTTTCTGTCAGGCAAAAGTTTGAGTCACACTGACACATTTTCACTGGATTCTGCGACTCAAGATTGTAGCGGCTACAGGTAACTAGCTGCTATTATACCCTTAGAAACGAACTAGTTAAGCTTTATTTTTTTACTTAACTAGTAAAGTAAAAAAACTTAAGTTAACTAGTTTTTTAACTAGTTAAGTAAAACAACTTTACTAGTTTTCTTTTGCATCTATCATGGGTAAGTATAAATTTAGTGCTAGTTAGCTGAAAGGCATTTGTGAGTAAAATAGGCAAATTTCCTTTGTACATTGCTGTCGCCATACAGGTCTTACATTTAATTCGTAATGGTCTTAAAAAGTTTTAATTTGCATCAAAATGAGCTGCATCTGTTGTTTGTCACATAAAAACTTGAGTTTTTGATCGAACTCACTGATTGCTGTGGTTTTTGAGTTTCGCACATATTACAAATGTATTTAAAAAGCTAACTCGCTACTTTCACATCTCTAGATCTAAATCTGTATTTATTCAAAAATATTACAGTCCAGATTTTTGTTAGAGCTTGTATCTGACTTAAATTTGTGCAAATGTTAAAAGAACAGAGAAATAGCCTGTTATTCACTTCAGTCAAATGTTTTTCCTGTTTGAGGGGGAATCATATTTTAAATGCAATAGTAGAAAGAACTTAAAAGTGTCAGAAACCTGCTGACGGTTTCTCTACCTGCTTGGAGCTGCTGCGAACACTGAAAAACTCTTCACAGTTTTTCCAGCGGCACTTGAAGGTCTGGAAGTTGCCGCTGGTGTGGTTGTTGATCAGGTGCTGCTGGAGATGCTTCATCATCCCGAACACCAGCGGGCAGCCGTGCCACTGTCAACACAGCAGTCATTCACTGCACACCAACCAATTATAACCTCCACCACTCACAGGATGATCAATAAGCTCAGAGAGGAAAATAAAATATGTTTCTACAGGATCTTCTAAAAGCGTCACTGAGATGTCGCCGTATCTTACCCAGCAACGGTGGTTCTGCGTCAGGTTGAGCTTCACGGCCTCCGTGCTGCCGTCGTAACATCCTGTGTAGATCTGAAACAAACACAGAGATCAAGATATACATAAAACAACAGCAGCTCCAGTGCATTTCAATGGGATTTAACATAACAGACCAACAGGTGCTATATAATCTGCAACTCAAATAAATGTTTGTCTGTGATGAACGAAGCTAATAATTATTAGGCCACTTAAGAGAATTGAAATTTCATTCTATAATACACAATAAGAGTAATATATATGGTCAAAACAGCAAAATGCTGAATGTCACACTACTGATCCCATTTTACATGCTCTATAGTCTAATGTGGGTTTTATTAGTACTTAATGCGTCTTTATCGCGAATGTATGTGTTTTCAACAAGTCTATCTATCTTGTCTATCTGCAGATGGATATCTATCTGTCTGTCTGTCTGTCTGTCTGTCTGTCTGTCTGTCTTTCTATAGCAACCCGTCAAAAATATGGTTGGACTCAATATTTCACGAAATCACTTTAATTTCCTCACATATTTTTCAAAACGCTTCAACTGCATGCCACCATTTTTAGATTTTGATCTGAAAACAGTTTTGAAAATCATGAATCCCTTCCATTTCATCCAGTCATTTCTGTTCCTCTGTCACATAAAATCCCTAAAACAAACATTGAACTCTTAGAAGATATGAGACAAAATTTGAAGAATTTCAAGTGGTATGAATACATTTGCATGAACTTCCAAGATTAAAACGAGATACTTTTGTTCCAAATAAGGAATGTTAGTTTTCTCACCATGTTCTTATGGACGGCCATGCACAGCACCATGTCACTGTATCCACCATAGACCTGCAGCTGGTCCTGAGACTGTGGAGACAATCAGCACTTCCTGTCAGCTGAATGTCAATTTGAAACAGAGGCAATTCCTTCGGTTCATCAGAGCAATGTTTTAGGGCGTACACACCTGCAGGTCGTAAACTCTGACCACTTTGTCCAGGCAGGCTGTGACCATCACTTTCCCAAGAACGGTCACCACGGTAACAGCATGGCTGTGACCCTTAAATGAGCGTACAAGCTCCCCTGTCTTTTTTTTTTTTACACAGAGAATAAAAATCAAATATATAAACTAGTTAGTGGTCCTTCCCTCTCCCCCACAAAAAGATCTTAAAATGACTTAAGAGCCACGACATGAACTCACATGGATGTTGTGAGCATACACAGAGTGATCGCTGGATCCACTAATCACCAGATCATTCACCACCTGAAAGGGGAGACAAGACGGAGGAGGCTGTTAAACGTTTAGCCGAGCAGCATACTTGTGTTTTTTTTCCCTCTCTTGTGGTGGGGTTTCTCCCCGTTGCAGCCCCGACCCCACCTTCATGCAGAGAACGCTCTTGGTGTGGCCCCTCAGCGTGCGCAGCAGCAGCCCGTCGTGGGCCGCTCTCACACTGATCGTGTTGTCGTAGGAGCCGACCAGCAGGATCCTCCGGGCCCCCTCCTGCGACGAGGCCAGACAGCTCACGGCGCGCGGCCCGTGGCACTCGAACACGTCCATCTGCTTGTTTGTCTAAACAATGAGCAGGGAGACGTGAACCCGGTCAACTGGAGCTGGCAGAGAGGCGCCGTTTTCGATCAGTTTCACACACAGACGAGCTTCGGCGGGATGAAAGTGCAATCGAGTGTTGAGAGGGAAAACTTGAATGACTTTTGTGTGACCAGGGGGAAAGAAAAGGTGGTGAATGATTGGAGGGCTGGAACGATTAATCGTATTAACTGTGATTAATCAAATTAATTGTGAATAACTGCATTAATAGTAATTAGTTTTTATAAATTGTGATTAATCAATTATTGAAATACTCGTCCACTAAGTAATTGATTAATTGTAGATTTCTTGAGTATACAGACTCAGGAAAGGCCATTTGCCAAAGAAAAAGCTCTTATA